AGCAAATGAATTATTGATATGAATTATCGAAGTTTTATTAGTAATATTTACTTTTTCGTATTTGTATTTGACAACTTATTATTTATATGTTATTAAATTAGATTACGTTAATTTGTAAAAGTTAAGATTGAACTTGGTATTTATATTTACTTTTTGTTATTAATATTAGTATCTACTTTCAGGCGTATTTATGTAGTATTATTTTAAATGTTAAAAAATTTAATTATAGTACGGAACCGAAGAGAACCGAACCCAAACGGTTCCAAAATTATATTTGGAACCGATGGTTCCATTTACTAAATACCCGAAAAATTCTGGAACCGAAAAAAATCGAACCGAACCGAACCGAACTGACCCGCGCCCACCCCTAGTTTTAAAAAGCTCGTCTAGGCTTGAAACTCGAACAAAATGTATTGTTTCGTGTCTGGACGCTGTTTTTCCAATTCCTAAACGGTTGAATTTTTTCATTCCTCTCTTTTGTCTTCCCTAGTCGCACTTTATTAGTGTTTTTATTTTTTTTCCTTTTTAAAAAAAGTTTTTTGTTTGATTTTAGCTTATTAATTTTTTAAAAAAAACTTTTCATTTGACTTTAATTTCAAAATTTTAAAAGATTTTATCTGTACACAAGTTGAAATTGTTTCTATTTAAATAGTTAAATAATATTTAAGTTATGTTACTATCTACACTATTTAATTAAGATCTTGAGACTCATTATTTTGTTGCAAACTCTAAAAGTACCTATGAAGTTTCTATAAATCTATTAAGTATGACTTGCCTAATCGAAAATTGAAACTACAAAAATATTCTAATTTTTGTATTCCGAAAATTTGAAAATTGTATAATTGACTAATGGAGTTAAAGATATTTTGCTATCTTTACACTGGTTAAGAGAAGAAAAAAGTGGATTAATTAATTTCATTTTCTTAAAGTAAATGTCTGAATTAATTAATAAGCATATCATCAATTGAAAATGGAAGAGGCTAGTAAAAGAGAGAAGGCTTTTTCTTCGACAAAAAGTATGTATGATTGTGCATATCTTAGAAATAATGTGTGAAAGAAGTTATCGTAAAAGTTACAAACTCAAGACTCAACGAATATACACAACATAATTTGATCGTGGGAAAGAAATAGGCATAAAAAATCATCATCTCGAGACCAGTGTTTTAAAAAGCTCGCATAGGCTCAAAACTAAGACAAAACTCCTGGTTTCAAAAAATGATTTTCACTTGATGTGATGTTTAATATATTATAGATTTGAGTAATTTCTTGAAATTGTTCTATTTAGTTAGAAGAGATTTTAAAGGAAAACGGCCTAAAATAGTTCTTCTACAAAAAAAAGAAAAAAGAGCATAAATCCTATCAAACGGGCTCATAGTGTATTATTAAAGCAATGATATTAGTCGTGAAAACTACGTGACATACAAGTGGCAGTTCGCGATTTGGTGCATTAATGTAGTAGTTTTTTCTTGACCTATGTATCAAATCGCAAACCACCGCTTATATGTCACACGAGAAAACTACTGGTAGTCTTCACTATAATCATCCTTTCTCTTTTACAACATCGGATTGGGAANAATAGATAAAAATAAATGATAAATAAGTGGATAATACTTGTGGTCCCTCAAAATGTATAAATAAAAAGTTATAAACGTAAGTGAAACATAGGATTTGATACGCAGTTGCCAAAGATCTAATTGTTTTAGTGAACAGAATGTAGTAAAAAAAAACTAAGGAAAAAAAGGACATCATGTAGTCGACCCCAAGATAGTCTTTGAAAATCGTTTATATTGTTTCCGTAGTTATTGGGTTACCGATTTAACTAACGAGTAATCAACGCGTGTGATTGGATAGAACGGTGAATAAAATAATTAGATTATTTAAATAAGTATAAGTTTTAGGTGGTAATAATGGCACAATTATTGGGAAGTTGTGCATGTCTTTATCTACTCCCAATTCAAATATTTCTCTCTCATGGTGACATTCCTACTCCCTTTGGACTAACCATTTATTCAATTGACAGTTCCTACCATATCTTCTTTGCAACTTTAAATTAAATTAATGAGCTAAGCTGCCACTATGGAGTTAAAAAGAAGATTTTTTGCTATCTTTATAATGGTTAAGAGAAGAAAAAAGTGGATTAATTAATTTCATTTTCCTAAAGTAAATGTCTGAATTAATTAATAAGCTTATCATCAATTGAAAATGGAAGATGCTAGTAAAAGAGAGAAGGCTTTTTCTTTGACAAAAAGTAGGTATGATTGTGCATATTCTAGAAATAATGTGTGAAAGAAGTTATCGTAAGAGTTATAAACTCAAGACTTAACAAATATACACAATACAATTTGATCGTGTGGGAAAGTAATAGACATAAAAAATCATCATCTCGAGACCAGTGTTCTAAAAAGTTCGTCTAGGCTCAAAACTATGACAAAACTCATCGCTTCAAAAAATGATTTTCACTTGATGTGATGTTTAATATATTATAGATTTGAGTAATTTTTTGAAATTGTTCTATTTAGTTAGAAGAGATTTTAAAGGAAACCGGCTTAAAATAGTTCTTCTACAAAAAAAAGAAAGAAAAAAGAGCATAAATCCTATCAAACGGGCTCATAGTGTATTATTAAAGTAATGATATTTGTAGTGAAAACTACGCGACATACAAGTGGTGGTTCGCGATTTGGTGCATTAATGTAGTAGTTTTTTCTTGACCTATGTATCAAATCGCAAACCACCGCTTATGTGTCACACGAGAAAACTACTGGTAGTCTTCACTATAATCATCCTTACTCTTTTACAACATCGGATTGGGAANNCTCTTTTACAACATCGGATTGGGAATTATGCACGTTGTGTAATTATTGTGCATGATAAGGAAGGGAAGTAATATTGTAATAGTGCTTCTACTTCGAACTTCGTCTTCTTGTATCATTATTGCACGCTTTTAACCCCCTCAATCATTAATTTCCCAATGGAGGAAAAAAAAAAAGGAAGATGCCACAATAATTAAGGTAAGGTCCATGCATCAAATGGATTTGGTAGCATGTCAACATAATTTGTAAATTTTATTGTCTGACTGTGAATTGAGCAGTACTTTTCTAGTTCTCTTTTATCTCGACAAGGCGACTATTTGAGAAAGTTCATTTGTTAATCGATGGTTAATACTCTAAAACTTGTCTAATTTCGTCGATATTAGGGTTTTTCCTTACAATAAATATGTACCAAAAGTAACTAAAAACTTTCTGTACTCTTGTCGTGGGTGTAAAAATCAATTATTACATAATTTCAATATCAAAGAGTTTCATTGGTACTTTTTTAGTTAATTAAAAAAGTCTCAATTTTTAAGGGGTCGATATTAAATTGACTACATTTTCTTCACATACCACATTAAAGATATGAATTAATTTATTTAGATTGATATTTGGTGTCGAATATCATACTCAACTAAATTTATATCCAAGCTATTATAGGTGACGTGGATTGAATGAGATTGAAAAAGAAATGATAGCGTACTCAAACTAAATTTACGTCCAATCTCCTCCATCGTTGTACAAATTTTATAGGCGACATGGAGTGAATACGTTAACGAAGAGAAAGCAGGCAAATGAAAATTTGTTATTATTATTAGGGATAAATTTTACATGGAATAATCAGAGTGTAAACCAGTATATATCGCGAGCTTGAAAAAAAGAAAAAGAAAAAAAAAACACTTCCCTTTCAAATACACTATTCACTAATTTGTCAACAAACTAAAGGCAAGAAACTCAATTATTTTCCTACTTTTTCTTCTTCACACCCAAAATCTAAAGCAAATAAATCCTCACAAACTCCAGCAAAAATCCCACATTTCAAAACGAAGTACTGGTTTCTGTAATTTCCTTTGCCAATAAAATACCGCAGCAATGCTACTACTAGCCTTTCAAGCATTTCTGCTTCCTCTTCTTCTTCTGCAGCCACGCCTTATACTATCTACCTCTGAAACCACCACTTCTTCCGGCCATGCAATTCCGTACCCCGCCTTTGAACACTTTAATGTTAAAGAAACCATTGCCGCCGAGACAAATATTCGAGCCCCATATGAATACAATGAACTGAGTGCTGATGAACAGGAGAATAAGACATGGAAGCTTCACTTGGTTCACAGAGATAAGCTTTCTTTTGCCTGGTTGAATGACCATCGCCGCCGTTTCGAATCTCGCATGAAAAGGGACGTTAAAAGGGTGGCTAGCTTGATTCGTCGCCTGAAAATAAGCGGCGCCGGCGGAGGAGGAGGTGGCAGAAAGGCTAGTTATGAGGTGGATGATTTTGGGTCGGAGGTGATTTCGGGTATGGACCAGGGTAGTGGAGAATACTTTGTGCGGATTGGTATTGGAAGTCCAGCCAGGAGCCAATACATGGTGATTGATTCTGGAAGTGATATTGTGTGGGTCCAATGTCAACCCTGTAGCCAGTGTTACCATCAGTCGGATCCAGTATTCGACCCAGCAGGTTCAGCTTCATTTGCCGGGGTGTCGTGTAGCTCATTGGTTTGTGGTCGGGTCGAGAATTCGGGTTGCCATGCCGGTCGGTGCAAGTACGAGGTCGCGTATGGTGATGGGTCGTACACTAAAGGTACACTCGCCCTCGAAACGCTCACCATTGGACATACCGAGGTCCAAAACGTGGCCATTGGATGTGGGCATATGAATCAGGGCATGTTTGTTGGAGCTGCCGGGTTGTTGGGTCTTGGAGGAGGATCCATGTCACTCGTGGGTCAATTGGGTGGGCAAACGGGTGGAGCATTTAGTTATTGCCTCGTGAGTCGGGGCACGGACTCATTCGGGACATTGGAATTCGGGCGCTCTGTATTACCCATTGGTGCTGCGTGGGTACCCCTACTCCGAAACCCGAGAGCCCCAAGTTTTTACTATATTGGGCTTTCTGGTCTCGGTGTTGGTGGCATGCAGATCCCAATAAGTGAGGACATTTTTCGACTAACTGAACTAGGCGATGGAGGGGTGGTAATGGACACTGGAACTGCCGTCACAAGGCTACCAACCGCAGCCTACTTGGCATTCCGTGACACATTTCTCGCAGAGACGGCCAATCTACCTCGAGCACCTAGTGTCTCAATATTTGACACTTGCTACGACTTGAGCGGGTTTGTGACCGTTCGAGTACCAACAATATCATTTTTTTTATCGGGCGGACCGATCGTAACTCTTCCCGCTAGGAACTTCCTAATTCCAGTGGATGAAAGGGGTACATTTTGTTTTGCATTTGCTCCATCACCTTCAGGACTTTCCATAATAGGGAACATTCAACAAGAAGGTATTCAAATCTCTTTTGATGGAGCAAATGGTTTTGTGGGATTTGGGCCCAATGTTTGCTGATGTATTCTTGAGTGAATTTTGGTTGTAATGCAGGAATAGTAACACCCTTACATTAGTATATACTAATGAAAACTTATATTTTATTTCATGTAACAAGGTTGTGGGCTATTGATGTCTTAGGTACATAATGATGATTAATGAGGTAAAAAGGTTTGATTTTCTTCAATCACTTTTCCCTGCTATAATATGAATTAAGCCCACATGTTCAAGTGGGAAAAGGAACAAAGATTAAGAAAAGCAAGGACCAATAAGGGTCAAAACTCCAAATTTTCCAAGTTATATGAATTTTACAGTCAAAAAGCATTGGAAAAAAGGCCATTTACTAGGGAATTTTAGCAGTCTTGCACCAAAAAGAGGATCCAAGAGGACCCTTTACAGCACCCCACCCCCACAATAGAGTCGAACTAACAACCTGGTCCTTCCAAAACACCTCGTTTCTTGATCCATTATCACTTCTCTCTCATCATTTTCAAGATTCCTACTCGCACATGCACATTTTTCACAAAGAAGTGTGAAGAGAGCAGAGAGTTCAAATCATGAGAAGAGGGAGCCACCATCATGGGTGAACATGTGAATCAATCACTGAGTTTTTGGTTCATCTTTGATGCCTACCCTGAATAAAGTTGGGTTTCTTTCAAGTCACGACTTTTTCTAAAGGCATTTATTTACCTTTTGTCCCCTTTGCAAGGCTAAGGCCCTATTTGATGGGCAAGTTTTTCATGAAAGATGGAAAATTTTTTGTCATTTTTCACTTTTTATAGTGTTTCGATATGAAACATTTTTCAGGTAATTGATTTTCCACTTTTTCTTGGTTTGCCACATTTTCTTGCCTTATTGAGATAAATCAATTCCCACCAGGGGCGAATTCAGGGCTCGAGTTCCGCTTGGGCGGACGGCGAATACTAAACGCTTAAGGTCAACGTTCGTGATAGCGGTGTT